TTGCTTTTCTTCTGTATAACTTCTTTTGTAGTTTAAAGTATTTCTCTTAATTTCTGGCTACTTTTCTTATAATTCTTCTTGCTATTTTAAACCTAATATCTTTTTTTTTTCCTTTTCAATTCTTGACTTCTATTGTTCTCTCTATTGCTTCATCTTGTATAGTATTTTCTTCATTTGTACTAGTATTCAGTAATAATCTAATTCGTCTATTCTATTTATCCAAGGTTTCATTTTTCTTCTTTTTCCAATCTTTAATATTATTTTGACTACTTTCTAAGTTTACTTGATATATAAACTCTACTATCCACTTTAGTATTTTCCTTTGTGGGTTTTTGAATTATATATTGCTAGAGTTTTCTCTTCTATTAAGGTTATTGCCAGAATTCTTGATATTAATTCTTCTGTTAGTTTGTTTAAAGTTTCCTTCTCTATAAGACCTTTAACATCTATTTCTGTATTACTTTTTTTTGTTATTTCTTCTTTTTCTTTGGCTTCTTTATATTTTTGTTCCAGCAGCTTTGCTTTCTGTTGAACTTGCATCTTCTTTATTTCTTTTCTAATTGTATTTTTCTTTTTCTCTTCATGTTGCTTTATTTCCATTAATTCTACTGATTCTTTAAAGCACAGTAATAATAGTCCTAAAGTTATTTTGTTATGCTGCCTTTGTCAGCACTTTCTCTATTTATCTAGTCTTTTCATCTATTCTGTTTCTATTCTAGCTCTTGTATACTTGATAACCATTTTTTCTTTATTATGTGTAAATAGCTTTTTTCTTTCTGCTGCACTTAGGTTTCTTATAGTACTGGTTACTTCATCTAGTAGGATGCATTCCACTGGATTAATTTTTAACTGTACTGCCTCTTGATATGCTGTATTATTTCTTTTTTGAGTCAAGTTCTGTATATTTAATTCTTTCTTCTCTATGTTATCTCAATTCTATATGTATTGCTGCTATTTTTTCCTCTGCTTATTCTGCTGTTGTAGGTTTTGTTCTAGCATTTTTTATTATTTTATGCTTTACATAACTATTTTGTTGTTGTATTTGTATATCTCCTTTGTTTTCATCTATCACATGTTTTTTAACATGTTTTCTTTGTTTATTCTTCATTATATATTGTGTATCTTGTGTAATAGCAACTGATTTGCATTACAGGATTAAGGCCAATTCCCCAAACAACTTGCAAAGGGCAAAATTATCAACAATTTTTTAAGTTTTTCTAGTATTTCTTTGCCGCTTCTGCTCTATTTACTCAAGTCTCTTAAGAGACTGAATATTATTTTTAGTTTTCTTGCTTTTTCTTTAGAGCTGCAAGTCTTATTTCCTATAGCCGATTGTGTGTTTCTGTCATTTTCTGTCATTGTTTTGTTTTGTCTTTTTGTGTACAGAGAATCAGTAGGAAGAGTTGTGTGAGAATTTGCTAACTGAATATTTATTAATTTGATAAGTTAGTAAATTCAGTTATGATTGTTGCTAAATTAGAACTTAAATATTTAGTCAGTCAGTTTTTTGCTAGATGTTTTGGAATTTATAAAAACAACTGTAAGATAGTACAAAACAGATTAGTCATTTATAAAATATAATTACAGTCGTCATCCTCTATAATCACCTCCTATATAATCACTAACTCTATATAATCACGCAAATTTTTAACACAAACTTTTTATTTATAAAAATCCCTATATATAGTCACAATTAATCTATAATCACTATCACATTTTATATTATGAATAAAAAAAAATATAGTATATATTATCCTTCTATAAAATTACATCTAAATAAATTATTATTAGAGAATTAGAGACCTTATCTATTTTAAGCATTTTATCAATTTCACACAAGTCATGCGGCCACATCTTTTTGCAAGGTGCTATGAGAAATATAAGAATTAAAATAATTTAATCGCATATTGAATAATAAACAAATTATTGCGCTATGCAAAAAAGATATTGTCACATGATTTTTGTAATGATGATCAGGAAAATTTTGAGATTTTAGATTGTATGCTGCTTTATATTTTCGATCGGTTACATTTAAATTTCTTTGAAATCAAAAAATTGACAGAATTTCGATTCCCACATGACATCGAGGCCACATCTTTTTGCAAAACGCAATAACCCTTATTTTTTAATTCATCTTTCTGATTAGAAATGAATCCAATATTCTTAGTATCTAGAAAATAATATGTATGTATCGAATTGAGTGTAAGTCTTGACATTATGCATTATTATATTGATCTTTGCTAGAAAAATCACCCTTCGACATTTTCCGATCAGACAAATTCGAACCATATTGAATCAATAAGGGCAAAAAATGATTTACATGCAAATAAGAACCGGTATGTTGGTTTAAAATGTTTCGAATTAACCTGATCGGAAAATGTCGAAGGGTGATTTTCCTAGCAAAGATCCCATATTTTGACTAACTGAATTAAACAAACTATCTAATTATAGTTGACAAGTGAGATTTAATTAATTATTCTGAAGCATACATGTGCTTGCCTAAATTTCTCATTCAGGAAGTTTGTGTAAGATCTCATAAGCAATAATTTTTATCTCGCGTAAAACCTGATAGAACCTTACACAAATACGTACGTACGATGCAGGAAATTTGAAAACCTCAATCTCTATAAAGAGATAATGCATAAGCACATTAGAAATAGTTTCTTAAATTGTCGATCTCAATAGTGAATAAGCCAAAACTGACAATATATAAAAATAATATAAAAGTAGTGCATATGTACGTACGTACGTTATAAAAGTGTGAATTATGCAAAATACAACTATACACTACTAAACCTAACTAAACTACTCTAACCAGAACACCACAATTAATACAACCAAAACCCTAATATTGGTAAGGCAACGATCGAGGCGTGGAAAGACTTGGTCCGAGTAACTAGGGTGAATTGGGTTCTTAGTAATAGGTCAGATTAAAGCTCTTGATTACGTTACGAATCTCTTAATACAACGTCACGGGATTTGGTCACGAATTCCAATCGTTATTACAGGTTTTATTTATCGGGGGGAATTAGTAGAACAAACACTTCTACTTAAAGAACTTAGAAGGTTTCAAACTCCAAGAGTTATCCACAAGTTAAATACTCTAATTTCTTTAACTTCGAACTTTTAATTCCCAAAAGTTATATTTTATTTATGGAGGGAGCCGTCACTTATATAATAATTTTTTATGTAGACAAGAATAACGCGAATTCTGATTTTTCCAGCTTTTCTAATTTTTCTTGTTTTTCTGGTTTTTCCCGCTATTCTAGTTTTTCCTATTTTTCTTTGAATTCCCTGGGAATTCGTACTACCGATTACCGCAGTAATTATTTTTTTAGGAAGGGCGATCTTGCCTTTTACAACGTACTCAATAGCTGAATCATACAGTAATAAGCCACTACTGAATTTAGCTTATCGTCAATGTGTTAGTTGGTTTTTATTCTGTATAAAGTGCTGAAGTTATTGAGGTTTTTAGATTTCTGCATCTACGTACATACGTACGTAGGTGTACGTATTCAATATTTAATACAGTAGTATTTTTTACTATTAAACACACTAATTTGGATCGACAGTCTTTACGTTTATTTAACAGAACTATAAATAATGGCACAAATTGTATAATTGAAAGTAATAAAAAAAGTCAAAAGAAAATAAAGAGAAATCGAAAAATCTAAGTAAATAAAAGTGTAAATTTATAATTATCCAACAGTACTATTGGTCCAAAAAAGTTGTATCTGAAATTTTGTCCCAAATCCCAATTTGTAAATTTGGAACAGGTTAAGTTCCAAGATTTTAGCTAGTCTCAAAATATGGTTAATATCCCAAAAAGTCCCAAAGTTCCAAGCTAGTTAGGTTTGGGTACAATGATACCTGCAGTATTTATCCATATAGTTGGAACCAAAGTGCTAATATATTATATCACGGCTAATGCTGAATGTTGAATCTAAAAAAATCCTATTGGCTAAATTTTGCAGATCACCCTAACTCTAACTAATAAATTCAGCATCAGCCAAAATTCAGCATCAGCCGTCACATTTATTACACATTTGGTAACTTTAGTTTATTTGATTTATTTAATTTCTTTCAGTATCGTGTACGCTCATTTATTTGTATGCTATACAAAAACTATATGATCGTGACTAAGAAAAAGTTATTAGAGTATTTCATGACAACAATGTAATTTTTTAATGTAAATTAATCAAATAATTGTACGATACCTTATCATTAATCCTTTTCGATACTCATATGATCTTTGTCATAATGATCTTCATTATAAAGGTCTTCGTCATAAAGATCATTATAAGAGTCTTTGTCATAAAGATCTTCATTATAAGGGTCTTCATCATAAAGATCACTATAAAGATCCTCATTAAGGGTTTCGTCATAAAGATCTTCATTATAAAGACCGTCATCAAGAAAATTTTCTTCGTCAAGAAAATTTTCTTCGCCAAGAGAATATTCTTCATTAGAAGAATATTCATTATTTTGAGTTCCCGTCTTATTAAAAAAATCTGTAATAGATTTTGCCTTAATGATTCAATAGTTTTTCGCCTCATTAATAGCAAGTATTTTCAAAATATCTTCAAATCGTCATTATCAAAATCATTTCTCATCTGCTGTTCAGCAAACAGAATAAATTTTTTTAGTCCATTTAGTCCTTCTGAGACCGAAATAATTGGAGGCTCTTCGTCAGAATCATCCGGGTCACCCTGCTCATGTTCCAATTGTTCGCCTAGCACGATTTCAACAATTTGACGATCATCAAGTTTGTCTTCTGTAGATATTTGTGTATTATTTACTTCTCTATAAGCAGCTATTTCTTGTGCAATCGCTGAATCAGTAAGATCAATTACCAATTCATTAATTTCATTTTCTTCTTCTTCTAATAATTCTAAAAATATATTTTGGGCAAGCTCAACCTCACTATTCGATATCATTGGCAGAATACCTGTCTTTTTCCAGTAATTCACTATGGTTGATTCGTCTACTTCATCCTATGATGCTGCTACATACTCAATAGCCTCTTTAATATTTACTTTATTGCTATAAAAAAATTAAAAAAAAAGAAAAAATTAAATAAAATTAAATAAAAAATTCAATAAAAAGAAAATAAATAAAATAAATAAAATTTAAATAAAAAATTTAAATAAAAAAAATTTAAATAAAAAAAATTTAATAAAAAAATTTAAATAAAAAATTATAAATAAAAAAAAATTAAACCAAGAATTTTTTAAATAAAAAAAAAGAACTGGATGAAACCCGCATTGTAAATTAATGAAATTTGCGTTTAGCTATATTTTTGTTCTTCAAAAGTGAATTTCACCCTCATGTGATCCACATAGCAGATTTTACTAATTCACAGTGTGGGTTTCACCCTGTCATAAAAAATTAAAAAATTTAAAGCATAATAATTGCTTACTCTGAATCTTGAACATCTAAACCACTTTCAAACTGATCTAAAATATGTTGGATATATTTTCTTTGATATTTTGCTTTAAAACATTTAATAATACCCACATCCATGGGTTGAAGATGCGATGTAGTAAGAGCAGGCAAAAATACAATTCGAATATTTGTAAGGTGAAAATTAGATGTATTAGGAAGTGTATATACACTTTTCCGATCTATACCATGTTTGCCTTTACTTCATTGCTTAACAGTATGACGCTGTTGACTAACTGGAGTAGTATTATTTAATTTTGGACGACCACAGGGACGACCACGACCACGGCTGCGACCATAACCACGGCCATAACTACAGCTGTGACCACAACCACGGTTGCGACCACGATTATTTGATCCAATCGACGATGATTCTTCAAGACCACTATTATTAGATTCCTCATCAGATAAATTAAGTGAATGATTTGAATTTGAATTAAAACGGCTTGCTGCATTATCAAGTATAAGCAAAATTTTTCAGTTTGCACATCGAAATTGACAGTTGAGAGTTTTTAACCACTCTCCAAATATGTCACTTCGCATCCATGCTTTTGGATTAGAACGATACGTAACAGGTAAGGTTTCATGATTTATACCAATTAATGCTCATGTTTCAATAGAACTTCCAATTACAAGAGGCTTTAGCTTTTCAGTACCAGTTGCATTACAAGTTAATAGAATAGAAATACGGGTACGATCCTAAATTTGGTTATAAATTTAAATATACAAAGCAAATGGTCAGACCATAATTAAACACCCGGGCCTTTGGGGGTTTCAGAATTAACTTATTTTGAAGTACCGTATGGCACTGACTATAGTACCCAGGTACTATAGTCAGTGCCGTACGATATATACTTAATTTACAGTATAAATCACTTATCCTGAAATAAATATATCACTTATTTTATTTAAAATTAGATACCGTATCATTAATTCTGAAACCTTCGTTAACATTAAATAATAATTTACTTTCCTTTTTCCATCCTCGACGAGAATGAGATGCCAAAGTTTGATTTGATGACATGTGAAAATACAATCCTGTTTCGTCTGCATTAAATACATCATTTAATGCATACTTCTGAACAATATTTTGAAGATTGCATCAAGATTCTGGAAGGATATCGATTGGTGTGCTGCCAGCTTCTCCATATAGCCTGAAATTTTGTAGATTGTTGCATTTTTTAAATTGCCTTATCCATCCATTAGAGAACTTCAACTCATTTTCAGGTAATGAAAGCTCTTTGACAAAATATGTTGCCTTTTCTTTAATAATTGCTTCGGTTAAGAATAATCCACTATTAACAATTTGTTCGACCCATAGTTTCATGGCTGATCTAATACAGGAAATTTTACTTTTCTATGCCGAAATGTTTTAGAAGTATTTTGGTTTTCAATAACAGCTAACCACTTATCTTTTTCTTTTAGAATTTTTGAAATAGTTGAACAATCAAGATTTCAATTTTGATCCTAAGCATTAAAATGATTAGCAATTTGTATTTGCATTTCATGAGGATTTTTTACATAATACTGACAAATGGCATTTTTTAGGTCAACACTAATTGCTGTGCGCGTTTTTTTGATGGAAGTTTGATGAGACATAATTAACTGTATTAAGTTTTAGGGAGATTAGCTTTTAGTCACAGACAAAATTTATTATATGCAGGGATTCATCTTATTTATATGTTAAGATCATTAATATTATAGCATTAGGTTATTGCAAAGGCTTTGCAAAATTAATTTGACTTGGGCTTTGTTTCAGTTTATTAAGCTTTTCACCCGATTATTCGATATCCTAATGATATAAGTAAAGTCAGAAATTTTAGTTTTCACTTATATAACCATTAACCAAAAATTTTAACAATTTACTTAAATGGCTTTGTTTAACTAAAAAGGCATAGCCGAAGCTCAAACCACGGCACTGGTATCATGCTTAAGCCACAATTTCTATATTAGAATATGAAAGCCGGTCAACTGGTTTGAAAGCTAATTAGGATTAAGTTGCATCTTAATTTTAAGCCATGGCTCAATGCTATAGCTCTGGTTTGAATAAAGACCAAAATTGAAACACAATAAAAATGTAAACCTTATTCATTAAAATATATATGTATATATAGCAAAAAACGGGCTGAACTTTTTAAAAAACAGCGAATTTATGTTGTGAATTTATTTTGCGGACCATGCAAGCTAACAAAAAAATTATTTTGTCAGGCCTTCGCAGGTTCTTAGCTTGAACCAAAGCCATGGCTAGAGTTCAGCTTCAAGCCGAACCAATAGTTTTTTCGTTAAATAACACTAAAAGTATATTTGATATATGTGGTGGTTGTATGTCAAAATAGAATCTCAATAAGCTTAGAACCACTTAAAGTGATTCAAATATTGCGTACTTAAAATCAAATTTTAAATTGAATTAGGCGGTGTAAGGTGAGGTTTCCTGATTTATACCAATTAATGCTCATGTTTCAATAGAACTTCCAATTACAAGAGGCTTTAGCTTTTCAGTACCAGTTGCATTACAAGTTAATAGAATAGAAATACGGGTACGATCCTAAATTTGGTTATAAATTTAAATATACAAAGCAAATGGTCAGACCATAATTAAACACCCGGGCCTTTGGGGGTTTCAGAATTAACTTATTTTGAAGTACCGTATGGCACTGACTATAGTACCCAGGTACTATAGTCAGTGCCGTACGATATATACTTAATTTACAGTATAAATCACTTATCCTGAAATAAATATATCACTTATTTTATTTAAAATTAGATACCGTATCATTAATTCTGAAACCTTCGTTAACATTAAATAATAATTTACTTTCCTTTTTCCATCCTCGACGAGAATGAGATGCCAAAGTTTGATTTGATGACATGTGAAAATACAATCCTGTTTCGTCTGCATTAAATACATCATTTAATGCATACTTCTGAACAATATTTTGAAGATTGCATC